CATACGTGCATTCATAGGACTTATAGTACATATGTACAGATGTGCATTTACAGAATTTATACTACATATGTACAGATGTGCATTCATAGGACTTACAGTATACATGTACAGATGTGCATTTATAGGATTTATAGTACATATGTACAGATGTGCATTTATAGGATTTAATAATGGAATGGTAACAAATTATACATGAAACAAACCATGGACAAGAAACCCCCAGACAGCCCTTCTAGGTAGGAGTGACCGAGAACAGGGTGAGGGAGGAACAGCTTAATCTGAAGCACAAGCAGGACCAAATACTGGGATGTAAGGGTGACCGGAACAGTAAGTACTTGCATGAATCAGGGTAATGAGGTTAACATTGTATATAATGTTCTTGTATACAAACTTTTATCCCCTCTCAAAGAACAACCTGACAGAATTCTTTTGTTTTTCGAGACAGAGTTTCTCTGTGTGACCCTGGCTGTTCTGGAACTCACTCAATAGACCAGGCTTGGCCCTGAACTCAAAGATCCGCCTACCTCTGCCTCCTGAGGGCTGGTATTAAAGGTGTGCGCCACCACAGCTCCAGACTAGCTTTTTTTATGACCAACAATTTGAAAGCTGGTCTCATTTTCTACATCATTTGTTTGTCAGAACAGTATAAAACATGTTCAATATCAAAGTCACTGATTTACATTAGAACTACCAAATGATCTTTCTTCTGGTACGCTCTGCTCAGTAGTATGATGCCATCACCCAGGGGAAAGCACCACTGTGGCCATCACAACTTGAAAATGTATGTAGCTAATCCAAAAAGTTTGGAGGTCCTGGTGCCCGTGCTCGATACCAGAAATCCTACTGATAAGTCCAACTCAAGGATCAGGGTTTACCTTTGTAATAAACATCCTAGGGTTTTAATGTTAAAAAAAAAAGAAAATGTATGTAGCTTACCTTTCTATACTCTCAGTGAGCTAATAAGTTTGCCTACAACTTGAGAAATCAAACACACAGAAAACAGGAGTTTCAGAAAAGTATTTTGAACATGTATTTTGTCTTATGTATTCCAGACTGACTTCCAATGCATTATGCAGTTGAGGATGAAGCTGAACTTACCTTCCTGCCTCCACCTCTCCAACGCTAGTATCACAGGAGCATCCTATGGAACTCACTGTACGTGGTGCTAGGAATCAAATTCAGAGTTTCCTGTATGGCAGACAAGCCCACTACCAAGTGAGAAGCATCCCCAACCCCTAGCAAGTACACTTCTGCCTAAATTTTAATAAAATTTCTTTTTCAAAAAGTTTGGGCTGGAGATATGGCACAGTGATTATGAATACTGGTTGTTCTTGCAGAGGACCTGGGTTAGATTCCTAGCATCTACAGTCACCTGTAACTCCTGTGCCTGGGGACTGATGCCTGTTTCTGACCTCCACAGGGGCCAGGCAGATATGTGGTGAACAGATACACATACAGACAAATATTCTTACAATAAAAATAAGGATAAAAATGTATTATCTCACTCTATATACACGGGTGTTTTGCCCGCATGTATGTCTGTGTGCCGTGTCTGAGTGGAGCTCAAGGAGGGCAGAAGAGGGCACTGGCTTCCCTGGAACTACAGTGACTATAGCCAGTTACTGCCTTAACTGCCCTTAACTACTGAGCTATCTCCATAAACCCAAAATTTATTATATAAAAGATTCTTCTGGGTAAATTTGGACATTTTACTTTAATATGCATGGTTCATCCCTAAACCAAGTAACTTACTTATACTACTGTTGTAGAATATTATTTTAAGGTTTTTTTGTTTTGTTTTGTTTATGCTCTGGAACATTTGTTTAATGATGCAAAGATGTGTTTGATTAAATAAAATTCACCTGCAGTCAGGAGGCTGTGTCAGCAACTGGATGACAGAAGTTGTAGGGAGAAGCCAGGTGGAGAAGGGTTTATAAGGAAGGACAAGGCAGCAAACTAGGTGAGCTGCTTGCTATTCAGCCTGTCTGAGGAGCAGAACTCTACCTTAACCTTTGAATCTTGAGTTCTTTAGAGGAACAGAGATAAAGATAAGTTCCCTTGGTAGCTTTGAAAGAGTGGGTGCCTGAGGGAACAGAATTTCCTCAGGCTGTTGGTAGCAGTGGAGTTGCAGTTGCTAACTAGGGTAGTCATGGCTTAAAAGGCAGCAACAATTAAAGAGGACCACGGACTATAGAAAACTTCCTTCTTTTCAGAATTTCCGTGTGCATGTGTGCATTGTGTCCACATGTGTGCAATGCCAACAGAGACCAGAAGAGGGAGTCAGATCTCCTGGCACTAAGTTACTGGTAGTTGTGAGCTACCTGACATGGGTGCTGGGACTGGAACTCAGCTCCTCTGTAAGAGAAGTAAGAACTCAACTTCTAAGTCATCTCTCCAGCCTCAGAAGAACTTTCTTGATCCTCAAGCGAAAGCAAAACCTCTCTAAGTTTACTCTTAGTTTTACAGAAAAGCTGGTTTTTGAAGATGTATTTAGATTTTTCACAGTTATTATTACCATTTAGGATAATAAGGAAATGCAGGTTAGTAATTAGTCATCTATTACAATCGAACTTGTAGTCATATTAGGTCAAACAGAGATATATTTTATATAAGTCACCTCCAAACACTTCAGAGATCTACAGAATATGGCATTTAGGATGTTTTAAGAACATAGGTTCTTTTTTTATGACAATGAGACATGTCCACTCCTGGCAGCACCAATCTACTTCAGGGAAGTTGATGGACATTGAAGAAACTCCACATGGAGTTTACTTTCTTTGTGGCAATAGTAGGCCATTGGGGAAGAAAGTGCTCTTCCATCAACGGCTGACAGTATGCTGGTGCTGACTGGACAAGCAGGACACAGAAGAGAGTGACTGCCAAACCTTGTCAAGACAAGGCAGGACGGTCCTTCAAAAACTGTGCGTCATAAAAAAGTCCATCAGATATGCTAGGCCTGTAGGCGGAATATGTGTGCCCTGACCTTGTGTGACTGTCAAGGCAGCCAGCTCTTTTTGTCATTCCTCACATTTTTTGGAAGTCACTTGTTTGCACTTCCTGCTTACTCAGTTAATATTATTTCCCTTCTCGGTCTCTGAGGGAGTTGAAGACTAGACAGTTAAAGTTTTCCTCGTTTACTAGATGCAGAAAAGAAACTCACTAAAGAGGTGTAAAGTGTAAGACTGAGAGATATCAAGATAGTTTTGAATGGTAATGCAAGTTAGGATAGAAAGCTAATTAGGTACAAGACTTTGGGTTCACCAAGTGAGGGCAGAAAATGGAGTACTTTCCCTGAATTTGTCAATTGCAAATGGACTAGACATTGTTGATGTATTCATAGACTATATATATTGTTATTGTACTTAATGTATATAGTTTTTCTTCTATTATAGCCTTCTTTTATTTTTGACAAAAAAGGAGAAATGTAGTGATATTTTGTTTGTGTTTTAACAAATAAAGATTGCCTGAAGATCAGAGTGCAGTGCTGAGCCACTAGAGGCCAGGTGGTGGTGGTTTACACCTGTAATCCCAGAACTCAGAGGGCAGAGACAAATGTATATAGTTTTTCTTCTATTATAGCCTTCTTTTATTTTTGACAAAAAAGGAGAAATGTAGTGATATTTTGTTTGTGTTTTAACAAATAAAGCTTGCCTGAAGATCAGAGTGCAGTGCTGAGCCACTAGAGGCCAGGTGGTGGTGGTTTACACCTGTAATCCCAGAACTCAGAGGGCAGAGACAGATGGATCTCTGTGAGTACACAAGATTGAATCTGTTTAAAAGAGAAACAGAGCTCACACAAAGGTGATCCCAGCACTTGCAATTCCACATCTTTAATCCCAGCACTAGGGATGTAGAGACAGGAATGATATGGTTGGGTGGAAAGAGGAATATAACACGGGAGGAGACAAAAACTCACTGCAATCTCAGATTTGATGGAGACAGATGGAATCTGAGGACAGGATCAGCCCTTTAATCTGAGCACTGGCAGAGGTAAAAGAACTCTCTAGTGGCTGGCCGCTCTGCTTCTCTGATCTTCAGCATTAACCCGTATATCTGACTCTGGGTTTTTATTTTAACACCAATTAGAGTTTATGCTACATATCATATCTCTTGATAAGACAGCTGGGATAAGCACCATTGGGTCTGTGATACTGCCAGTGTGAAAAATTCACTGAGATCGAACAAAAAATAAGTAAATAAATAAATTAGCTAGGCAGTGGTGGTGCACACCTTTTAGCACTCAGAGGGCAGACACAAGTGGATCTCTGTGAGTTCAAGGCCAGCCTAGTCTACAGAGTGATTTCCAGGACAGCCAAGGCTACACAGAAAAACCCTGTCTCAAAAACCCAAAACCCAAAACCCGACATAATAGACATGCAAGGACTGCTTTCAATATCTCATTATGATGAGGCTGTCTTTGAAGTCATAGAGAAACACCTCCCTCTGCCTCCCAAGTGCTGGGATTAAAGGTGTGTGTCACCACACCATGCCAGGCTAGATTAGGTAATTCTTATATTCTCTATGCCACCAGTGACTTTCAAACCTTTTTTATTTTTTACCATGTTTTCACATTGATGATTTACATGTATATGTGTAAGTACATTGTAGTTGTTCATTTTTTATTCTTTTCTGCTTTGGGGGCCCACCACCCAGATCCCAAATAAATGACACACAAAAGTTTATTCTCACTTATGAATGCCTGGCCTTATCATCTTGGCTTGTTTCTTGCCAGCTTTTCTTAATTATCCCATCTATCTTTTGCCTCAGGGTTCTTATCTTTCCTTATTCCTGTGTACCTTTCCTTTCCTTCTTACTCTGTGTCTGGCTGTGTGGCTGTGTAGCTGTGTAACTGTGGCTGGGCCCTGAAATCCTCCTCCTTCCTCTCTCATTCCCAGATCCTCCTATCTCTTTCTCCCAGATCTCTCCTCATGTCTATCCTCTCTGCCTGCCGGCCTCGCCTGTTTCTCTCTCCTGCCTCGCTATTGGCTGCTCAGCTCTTTATTTACATGTGTTTTAGAAAGGCACAGTAACACAGCTTCACAGAGTTAAACAAACGCAGCATAAACAAGAGACAGCTTAAACTAATATTCCCCAACAGTGTGTAAGAACACACCTGACACAGTATTAAAGGAAAGTACTGATGATTACTCTCTACTGCTTCACACAGGAAAAAAGAGCTGAGTTATCTTCTTAAGCTGAGAATCTAAAATGTCATCAAAATAATAATGAATGCATATAACATCAATGGATATAAAATCCCTGGGTGAAAGGTCACACAATGTCAAAGAATCCATCTGTACACTTTTCAGTTAAAAGAGCAGAATCTACATCCAAGTCATCAAATGTGTGATGTTGTGATGTCTGCACAGCTCTAATGTGCCTTCCTGTCACCTAGTTAGCAGTGCAGATTGTCTGCGCAGCTCCAATGCATCTACCGAATCACTTGAGTTATTGTCATATACACAATACCTAAAATTACTTTTATATTTTTGAAAATGTTCATTATCTGGCCATAATGGAAGCATCAACACAGGGCTGGAGAGATGGCTTAGTGGCCAAGAGTGCTTGCTGCTCTTCTGAGGGCTGGGTTCAGTTCCAGCCCAGGTCAGGAGGCTCACAGTGTTTCTAACTCTAGATTCAGAGAATCCAGCATACTCCCTGGCCTCCACAGCCCCGCCCACCGCAAACTCATACATATAAACATAGATAAATACTTTTTATACAAAGTCATTAATATATCTGGTGAATAAATTTTTGCTTAAGAATAATATAGCACATTTATTCTTACATTGTATCTACTCCAAATGTAACTATAAAGAAAACTTTCAAACTATAAAACATACCTGGTATTTGGCTAATTCTGCCTGTAATACTTTCACTTTAGATCTTTCTTGTTCCAATGCGGCGTGCAGTGAGGTCACCTACAACCAAATAATGAGTAAGAAAGTACATTAATTCTGAACATATTCAGTGTGATAAAATCTGACAGCTGTCAGTATCAGAGATGCCCTCCCTTCCCATGGTTCCCAGAGACACTGCAGTGAGCACAGACAGGAAGGCCTGCTTGCCATGAAGAGAAACCCACTCCAGGAACAGGTAAGCTCTGCCTGCTGCTGGTGTTCTGTCCACTAACTCACAACCTTTACCTTCCAAACTGTCCAGGACACGCCTACCATCTTTAATACAATAAGCAGGAACTTTCTTTGCTAGTACACAATAATAATGAATACTTTCCATTGCTTTCTCACCTGCTTAAGAGGCAGTATTTCTATTTTGTGGGGCCAACAAGACCTCAGAATAATATAAAACGCATTCAACATCTCCCAAAGCCGCTCACCTGGACTGTCAGCTCATTCTTGATACTTTGGGATTCATCGACTTGCAGGAGTATTTCTGCCTTATCTTTCACTGGGGGAAAAGAAAACAGCATCGTCACCACCCCAGCCACTCAATGAGGAGAGCAGTCAGAACACCAGTTTCTCCTCTTCGCTCCATGGATGTTCTTCTAGAGCCTGACTGGTCTTATTTCTCACTAGTAATTCTGGTCATTAATACAGCAACAGTGTTTTCTTTTTAAGTAATTTATATTTTTTCTGAAATATCATCTGCATAGATATGATGATTAATTTTTCAATTTATAATAACTAGGACAGGTATATAAGAAAACTGAAAAATTATAAGGAAAAGTGAAATATCTTGAGCATTTGTCTATTTATTAGGTCATGTTTTTGTTTGTGTGTGTGTATGTATGTGTGTGCACTTGCCACGTCCACATGTCAGGATAATTTCTCACAGTCCTTTCATCACAGCATACAAGTTTCAGGGATCCAACTCAGGTTTATGATGTTTGGCAGCTCGGCTTTACCTGTTCAGCCATCCTTCTATTTTGTAGCCCAGGCTGGCCCTTGGACTTCAGCTGCTCTTGCCTCAGTCTCCAAGGTGCTGAGCTTACAGACACAAACCATTATACTTGGCTTCTTGGCTAATCTTAAAACAAGATTTTATTTCTTTTTTGGGGGGGGGGGGAGTCTCATCACTGTGCAGCCTTGGCTGGCCTACAAGTCAGAGATCCGCCCACCCCTGCCTCCAGAGTGCTGGATTAAAGGTGTGCTCCACCATGCCTGGCTTGGTGCAATAATGTGTAAGAACTAGAAACTCAGCACTCTTACCTGAATAGTGGCCAGGTGCTTTAAGAGGCCTTACAGTGGAAATAATAAACTATCCAATTTGTATCCCTCTGGGGAATTGTGTGTGTGTGTGCTGATAAAACATGGAACTTGGTTGTTTTCACATATTAAGATTACCTTTAAATCTAAACACTGCACAAAGGCTGAGTGCAGTGCGAGCGCCTCTAACCCAGGCTGAGTGCAGTGAGCGCCTCTAACCCAGGCTGAGTGCAGTGCACCTGAGAGGCAAAGGACTATGCAGTCTGGTCTACATAGCTTCAGTTCAGCCAGAGCTGCACAGAAAGACCCCATCTCAAAGAAGCAAACAAGGGAGCACCAGCTGCTCTTATGGAGAACCCTGGTTCAACTTCCAGCACCCACATGGAGGTTCATAACTGTTGTGACTGCAATTCTAGGGAAACCATCCTCAGCTTCTTGTGTCTTTGGGCACCAGACATGTTTACAATGCATACAATACATATATACATACACGTAGGCAAAACATTAATACACATAAAACAACTAAACAAAAAAAACCCTAAAAACATGTGACTCACTTACTTTCTCCTTCCTGAAGCATTTTTAGTAATTGTCCATTTCTTGCTTTTACTTCTTTATACTTTGCCTAATAATCAGAGAAAAGAGATTTTTAACTTTTTAAAAGTAAATGGTAGATTATGGTCTACTTTTAATTTATGGACTGTATATTTAAAAACATAAATCATTTAGGAAATGAACCAAATGGAGGAAGATGTAATCAGAACTACTTAATTAAACCTCAGGAAACTTAAAAAGGCCAATTCGATGGCTTAGAGGGTGGAGCGTGATGGTGTGAGTCTGATTCCTGAAACCCACAGAAGGGCAGACAGACCAAAGTGACTCCAGAGAGCAGAGATCACACACGTGTGTGTGCACACACAGACACAAATAATAAAATTGAACTTAAAAAAATTCAAAGTAGGGGGGTAAAGGTGAAGTCAGAAAAATATTAAAATTTTTGAAGGTTTTTTTCTTTTTTCCCAAATAAAAACTTTGAATAAATCCAACTAATTTCAATAAAAATCAAAAGAAAACAGCTCCATCTTTTTTACTAGACTGCCCTGCAGTCCTACACCGCCACTGTCAGCATAGAGCTGGTGGCACTACTTGACTTTTTAGCTCCTTTTCCAATGGCTGACTCTTCTCCTCCTAATGAACAATACACCATAATTCATGAATAAGAGGAGCTGGGTTCCCACATGAACCACTTGAATTTTTGATAATTATCTCCCCAAACAGTCTTCATTGGCTCCCTCCCTCCCTCCTTCCTTCCTTCTGCCCTTCCTTTCTTTCTTCCTTCCTTCCTTCCTTCCTTCCTTCCTTCCTTCCCTCCCTCCCTTCCTCCCTCCCTCTCTCCCTCCCTTCTTTCTGCCACGTGATGTAGGTGGTTCTTCTTTCTATGTGTTGCTTTCATTGGTTAATTAATAAAGAAACTGCTTGGCCTGATAAGTCAGAACATAGGTGGGTGGAGTAGACAGAACAGAATGCTGGGAAGAAGGCAATGAGAAAGACGCCATAGCTCTCCTCTCCGAGATGGACGCAGGTTAGAATCTTCTCGGTACACAGATTACGAAATATGGGTTAAAGCAAGATGTGAGAATTAGCCAATAAAAAGCTAAAACTAATGGGCCAGGCAGTGTTTAAAAGAATACCATTTCCGTGTATTATTTTGGGTAAAGCTAGCCAGGCGGCCAGGAGCTGGGCAGCAGGAATGTAGCCCACTGCTCCTTCTACAGCCAGGCTGGCCTCAAACTCACAAAGATCCACTTGCGCTGGGTGATGGTGGCGCACGCCTTTAATCCCAGTACTCGGGAGGCAGAGGCAGGTGGATCTCTGTGAGTTTGAGACCAGCCTGGTCTACAAGAGCTAGTTCCAGGACAGGCTCCAAAACCACAGAGAACCCTGTCTCGAAAAACCAAGAAACAAAACAAAACAAAACAAAAAACCCAAAGATCCACTTGCCTCTGCCTCCCAAGTGCTGGGATTAAAGGCATACACCACCACAGCATGGCTGGAACATTTCTTTTAGTATTTTGAAATACTTTCAAACACTAATAACCAATTATTGAAAACAATATAAAATGTTATAAAAAAATAAATGCCTAAAAATATCAGTGTAAAAAACCTCTCTTTCTTTTTTCTCTCAGCACGGAACAAGTATGTGGAAGATTTACCAGTTTTATTTTTTATTTCTATAGTGCAGGAGTCCAACCTAGGGCCTCACCAAATACACAAAGCAAGGAGCTACCACTGAATGATGCCAGAACCCAGTGGATTTAAATATATTTTATTTTTATTTATTATTTGAGGGGGGGGTTTAGACAAGGTTTCTCTGTACAACAGCCCTGGCTGTCCTGTATACTCAGTTGGCTTCAAAGTCACAGAGATCCACTTGCCTCTGCCTCCCTAGTGTTGGGATTTAAAGCATGGGCTACTATCACCTGGCTTTAAATATGTTTTAAATTCTATAAAAAGTGATTTTTTACTAAATAGTACTCTATCCAATTAAATTGCTGATAATAATTATTTACTGAGTAATACTGTAGTCCACACAGGGAGCTGAAGCGTCTGCTATAGCAAATACAAAGAGAGTAAAAATGCTTAAGAAATTGAGATGAATTGGGCAGTGGTGGCGCACGCCTTTAATCCCACACTTGGGAGGCAGATCTCTGTGAGTTCGAGGTCAGCATATTCTATGGAACTAGCCCTAGGAAAGCTGTTTCAGAGAAACCTTTTCTCGAAAAAAACAAACAAACAAAAAGTAAGAATCTGAGATGAATGAGAGATGCTGCACACAGCAGCGCCAGAACCCTGGCTGCCCACAGGCTCTGGTAAGTAATCCGTGGACTAACATTGATCAGAAGACAAATGATGCTTGAGGAACTGGAGCATCTTTGTTGAAGTCTAAAGGGCAGTAGCAAGAGAACGCCTTATAAGTTTGTGATTAAAAACAATTGTAAGGGCAGGAGTCCTTGCTGCTCTTGCAGAGGACCCAGGTTTGGTTCCCAGCACATCAGGTGGCTCACAACCTCTAACTCCAGCTCCAGGGCATCTGAGATCTTCTTCTGCGTTCCACTGGTACTTGAACACATATGTGATGTATACAAGCACACACATATACAAATGAAAATTTAAAATTAATCTTTAAGAGAAAACAATTGCATACATAGCATTAGCAAGGGTGTGGAGAAGCTGGAATCCCTGTGCACTTCTGGTAAAAGGACAACAAACAGTTGCTCTGAGAACGCTTGGAAGTCACATAAAAGCTAAGACAGAATTATCCTATAACCAGCAGTTCTACTTTTAGATTTTCAAAATACTCAAAGAACTCAAAACAGGATCCTGGACACTTACTTGTGCACCCACACACAAAACGTAGCACGTAAACTTCAGAGGATGTAATAAGGCAGGACAAGAAATGGAGTTCTGATAAACGCTACAACACAGAGGCAGCTCAGAAAATTTCTATGTTAAAAGAAATAAGCCAGACAGAAATGGACAAAAACTGTGTGATCCTACCAGAATGAGAGATCAGGAACAGGTAATTCCTAGAGATAAATTGTTGTTAGGGGGTGAAGGGTGGGAATAGTGAGCGATTTAATGGAGAGTTTCTGGAAGGGAACAGCAGGAATGGTCACCCAACAGTGAAAAGGTTCTTAGTGTTACTGAACCTTTAATTCTAGCACTTCAGAGGCAGAGGCAGGCTGACCTCTGAGTTTGAGGCCAGCCCGGTCTACAAAATGAGGACAGTCAGGGTTATACAGAGAAACCCTGTCTCAAAAAACAAAGAACAAGTAGCTAAATAAACTTAATGCTATTGAACCTCAGGCTTAAAATAGTTTACAAAGCTGCCTGCATATAACATACAACATATATTTTACAATATATATTTTTTCTTTTTTT